AGGCTGGACGGGGCTGAAGCCCCTCCCTGGCAAGCACTTCTCCAGGCTCCTTGGGAGTTGAGCCTGCGCGCGTATGGAATTGTGTGTGCCGGCAGCGGAATACGGTATGCATCTGCCTGCTTCCTAAACAAGCCCCTTGCCAGGAGCTCGCCAGGGTGGGAAGTGAATCGGGGCAATGGGACTGCATGTTAGCAGCGCGGGACTCCCGATGAGATGGCGTGGACTGGAAAGGGGAACTGCAGGAGGCCAGCAGGGGCAGCCTTCCCCAGTCCGCCCCCTCCCCCCAGGAGGGCTTGCTGAGCACATGCCAGGGCACATGGGAGCTACCACCTGCATTTGCACGGCAAGTCCGTGTGGGCTCTTTGCCCGCCCGCGGCGTGGTGAAACCTCACCCGTGTTATTTGCCAGGGGACCCCACTGAATGAAGCTCCAGTTAAGCTTTCCTGAGGTCGGTGGGGTGTGGGGGGTCTCCCTCTCGTACCCAACAAGGGAGACCTAGCTGTTGTCAGCCGACCCCTCCTGTCCCCCAGCGATGATTGGCTTTGTCCACGTGAGACCGGGCTGTCCCTGCTACGCAGGACGCGGGCAGGGCAGCACAGCATTGCGTCTGCTCTTCCAGCGTGCTGCAGCACCCTGTCTCGGGTCCTAACGTTCCCCTCTGCTTCACAGTCCTGTGTTTCCCGGGCGTCCTTGGATGCCTGCCCCCTCAGACCCAGCGCCTGGCAGGTGTGCAGGTGTCTTGGCCACCCACTGAAAGATCTGAGCTCGACAGAGAGCCGGTCGAGGGAGGAGCGTGGAGCAGCGCGCACTCGTGATAGTGGACACCCCCTTCCTCCCTGAGCATCAGGGTGCTCCCCAAGTGGGCCTCTTGCCCCCGAGGAGGGAGCACTGCAAACATCTCCACTCACTCACTGCCGCCAGGTTGATGCTGACTCACGGCGACCCTGGGGGACACGGCAGAACTGACCCTGGGGGTGTCTGAGAGGGTCACTTCCTGCAGGAGTAGAAAGCCCCCTCTTTCCCCCGAAGAGCAGCTGTGGAGTTCAGCACAAGCAGAGGCCGGCCGGCAGCACGAGGGGTGGTGGGCTAGGGTACACACGCTTTTCCTCGCCAGCGGGACACGGAGCCCTCCTTTCGTCTCCTGAACAGCAGGTGGTGGGTCAAATTTGTTTGGGAACCTCTTTTGGACCCCCAAGGCGCCTCACAGGTCAGGCACGGGCAGCTGCGTCCCGGGATTGTGAGTGACCCCTGTGAAGCTCCGTCCCCTCATGGTGGCTGCTGCCTGTCCTGACCTGTGGCTCCCGTGGGTAAAGCCACGTGGCTTGACCTTAGCGGGGTCGTGGCTTGGCTCCCCCGGGGGTGCCGAGGAGGCCGAGTCTCTGAGGCTGTGACTTAGGGGTTCACATCGCCAAGTGCCACTGGGTGGGTCGGAAGTGCCCACCTCGCAGCTGGTCGTGGTGCGCTTAACCAGCTGCACCGCTCTGGGGCTCCCACCCGCCGCCCAGCCTTGCTTTTGCTTGGGTCGTCACCACCCGTGTCACGCTCCTCACCCCCCACTTCTGAACCCCCCCACCCCAGCTTCCGGCTCTGCCTGTCACGTTGGCCGTGTGCTATTTCTTCTGGGTCTTTCTGGTTTCCAGCGAGTGAAAACTGTGTTCTGCGGGGGCAAGAGGGCGGCCAACCGACTGCCCCCAGTGGATCCTGGACTGGACCCCGACCGTTCTCAGCAAATTCTGCCCTCCCCGCACCTCCGATGTGCCAGGGAGGACCCGAGCCAGGCCCAGGAGATTGGATTGTTAAGCATCCTTCCGGGGTTTTGTTCGTTACATCTAGAAATAAGCGGGAGAGTGTGGGGGACCAGCCCCACCACCGAATGGGACCCAGGGGGCGGTTGTCATAAAGAAGCATCAGACCAGGCATGCAAGGGCCCACCTTGTCCACAGAGACTGGGACCAGAGAGTGGACCAGTGGATTCTTGCACACGTTTATGTAATCCTGGACACGCAAGCCACATCACGCACACACGTAACGGCAAGGGTTGTGTTAGAGGTAGACATGTAACATTGGGGGTGGGGGGTGCTAGGGGTGCACATGACAGGAAGGGGGCGTGCCAGGGGCGTACACGTGAAGGTGTATGTGCCACAAGATGGGTCGGTTCTAGAGTTAGGACAGTGGTCTCACGCTGGCCGTCTCTGAGCTGGCTCTTCCCCAGGGGATCAATCTAC